CTGTCTTCCCTCTAAGTGTCTCCTGACCTGTAAAGGAATTTAAGATCAACATGTGGTTTAGACGAAAGAGTGTGGTTAGTGGGGCAAATCTGACCAAGACACTTTACTTCTCTGAGCCTCCACAGTTTGGCCTGTAAAATAAGCATGAAATGGATTAATCCATGTGAAAGTGTCTATCACAGTACCTGGTATACAATAAGTGGTCAATGAATGCTAATTTTCTTCCTGCCTAAATTATAATCACAGTGCTATTAGGGGGGAAAGGATGACTCAGTGGGCCACACACCCTCTACCGTGCTACTTGCCTGGGGCAGGTCGCTACACACCTCACCAGATAATAAGATCTGTGATTGCAGAGGACTGTGATTGGTGACTCAAAAACCTGATTTATCTCAATTCAGTTCTGTTCAGGAAAGGAGTCACAGATAACCAAACTGCCCTTGCATTGTAGAAAGCACCACAAAATGGAAGAGACCCCAGGACATGAGCAAACTACGTTTTTTGTAGCCAACACACATGGAAGATCATGTTCTGAACTAACTTAGAGAAGGCAAATATACTTTTTAACACGGGTTGTCCGGACTCAATTTTAGAGGTAGAAAGCCTTTAGAAATTTAAAGTCCTCTACCTTATATATGAGACCAAAGAGTATCATCCAAAACGTTTCTTCCAATATATTTTGAACATTTATTGTGAGATATTACCTAGATGAGAGATTGTATGTCTCCTCAACCTAGCTAATACTTATGACATACATTTCCTCAAGAAATTTATAATGAGTGAGTAAATGAATGAACGAATTCAAAGACTTTCCCAAGGTCACGAATTAGTAACTACAGGAACTAGAACTAGAACCCCCGTCTCCTGACTTCCCAGTGTGTACTACTGGGGGAGCCGGAACATGCATGAAAATAGCTAGGAAAACTCAACAGGTGTCTTAGCTCAACTCCCAGATGACTGATTTAAGCCCATCTAGGGAAAATAAATGCTGAGCTCTGGTGCCAGCATGTGAAGGATGTTCAGATTTTCTACAGTGTCTCTGGATCAGTCCCCTCCTGACAATGATAATGACCCTACAAATATCTTATATAAAAGGCCTTCACCTCCATTAACTCCTTAAACAGCCCCCACTTCATTGCCTCTTTGTTTCAGAGTCAAGGTATGCAGAGGCCTTGGAACCAAAATTTTACCAATCAGCCAATACAAAGTTGTGTACAATGGATTAACGAGTGAAGAATTCTGTCATCCACTCTTGAGGGAAAAGAAAGAGAGGCAAAATGTCATTACTCAGAGACATTCTGGCCCATGATCCCTGAAGAGTACTAAGTATCCAAAATCCACTTCTACGCAAATTTCCCTTCTAGGTATAGATATTATGTACCATTATGAAAGAGCACTTGATATGTAGGTCTTTCAGACACCATTCAGCCTTTCTCAACCCAGATTCCTCATCCGAACTACAAAACACAGAAAATTTTTGTTAATTTTCACAGAATCTTCTCAGTTCTCTCAAGGATGGACCTAACCTGGCCCATCCGATATTCTTAGCAGCGAAGGTGAAACATTACATACAATGGATGCTGCAGGGCACAGGGCTTGATTCTCCCAGGAAACACTGCCTGAGAAGCATGCTAGAGTAATCTAATATATCTCCAAGTCATGGACACGTCACAAGTGTTCTTACTATGCGTGCACTCGTGCGTGCACACACACACACACACATTTCCAAAAATGTCTTCTTTTTATGAGCTCTTAACAATGAAAGTGGATGCATTACCTCCAAAATTTTGTCAGAGAGAAAAATTCATTTGTATTCATGTGATACAAAGACATTATTTTTTTCTATTTGAAAAACAACAGGAGGATCAGCAAATCTTTTGTAGATATGCAAATTGTAACTCAAACAAAAATAGGCTGCTGATATGTTTGTAATGAAGAGTATTAGGTGGATTTTTTAGGCAAGCTTAGCATTTCTCTAAAGTATTTGGGAAGTTATTTCCAACTTTGCAGTTAATCAACCAGGAGTTCCAGAGCATCACCCTCTTAAATGGCCTGGGAGGATGTGGCAAAGAAAAGACACTTTGCATAATTTGCCAACTGATGCTAATTTTTTTCTTTACTTAAATTGGTTGATTTAAACCTCTTGTATAAAACAAAAGTCAATGATTTGTCCCCTATCATTTCATTTTGGTCCTAGTTTGCAATTGGAAAATGAGTTTACAGTTGGTAAAATAAAGGAGAGCTTGAAAAGAATTCACATTTGTAGATTGCCTGCTATGAGCCAGGCATGGGGCCAGGCACTTTGCACATATAATCTCATCTAACTCCCATGAGGTAAGTGATTTTGTCATTTCCCTTTTACACATTAAAAATCTGAGACTCGGGTTCACACAGCCATCGGCAGAACTAGGATTCAAATAGATTTCCGTGGCTTGTACACCCAGGATTGTCCCAAGATTCAGCATATCTTCCTCCAATTATGACTGGAAAATAAATTGGGACATTTTACTTATTTTTTCAGATTTATATCTTCTATTAATCAGGAGACAAAATGCCTGCCAAAATATGACCACCTTTAACTTACCTTCACACAAGATCAAAAGAAATGGGGAGCAGTAAGACGAAGAAAGTGAAATTAATGTGTAATTTGGTAAACTTGACCCTCTGGCCATGACAGATTCAAATGCACAGTCTTCCCAAAGAGCTGGTGCGCCATGATTCACAAGAAAAGAAGGTCAAAACTCAGAAGACTGAAGCATCAATGTCCTTAGAATCCTGTCCTGGAGGAAACAGATATGTAGGATAGAATCAGATGATTTAATTATGTTCTTTTATTCTCAGATTGTGGTGAGTACATTAGCTTGAACCAGAATCATGTTCACTCCTTTATCCATTTGAAACTGTCGTTTTCACTGATGGTCTTTAATTACCTTCCCAGGAATTAGAAAGCACGTCCTCATATCTCACGTAGAACGAGTGTCTGGGGTTCACCATCGCGCATAGTTTAACCTCTAGAAAATCCGCTGCCCCTGCCTCTCGCAGAAGTGCTTTGGGTCTTCCTCCTTCTTGGCATGGAGCCTTGGGAGACCTGCTGTTAGAAAAGAGAACAGTAACTCAAGCATTTTCTTTTGTCCAAAAGCACAATGCAGAGGCACTTTAAGAACAGAATAAAGTCTTTCTGCTAAGCCTCTTTCAACAAAGCATTAATATTTATTAACTTGCACTCTGCTGTAGAATGAATGTTTTATGATAAAAAATGGTTAACAACAAAATGGGACTTTCCACCACAAGCAACCTACTCTTCCACTGATAAAGAACTCAGGACGGAGCGAGCCAACCTCTGTCTCTGTATTTCGGGGGTCTTTCGTTCACTCTTCTAGACAAAGGAGTAATTGAATACTGCTCCATGTAATTGCTGGAAACAATCATCAAAAGGTTATAAGCTTCCTTTATCAATAGGAGCCAACTAAAATGAAGCTAGAAATTAATGTTATATTAATGCTACATTAACAAATAGGACATATATTAAAAAGAATGAAGGATATTTCAAAAGCTCAGAATTACACATTTTAAATTTAGATTAGATCAATTCCTAAACAATTCAGAAAAGGGAGGGGTTTTTTTTTTTCAATTTTAAACAAAAGCCTGTCTGTCTCAAGTTTTCCTATTCATTCATTCACTATTTTTTGAGAAGGTTCTGTTTGCCAAGCACATAGAAATGTGGGGTTTTGAAAATTAGCATCAAGGTCTAAAAAATGACTTATATGAGATCTTTACTACTGAAGACTGCCCTTACTAAATCACTTTGTAATTCCTTTAACAAACTACTCAATCTTACTACAACTTTTCATGGTGAGTTATGACATACTGAAAATGAACAAGAACATCTCAACTCCATAATTAATGTACATACAGCACAAAAGCACAGAAATAAAAACCCAATAGCATTTATTTCTGTCCTGTCAATTTCAATGACTGGGTACAGGGATAACTGTACTGGGACCACGTAACAATGAGCTTGTTGAATGTTCCTTCTCATAGTCTTGAGTGAAGTTTCTATCTAAATATTTTAGAAGTCTAAGCAGTGTGGGAAAGGGGAATAAGCATAGATTGTGGAATCAGGCAGACTTGGGTATGAATTCTTGTTCTGTGTGTAGGAAACTCTTGGAAAACCTACTTTACTTCCATTTCTGTTTCTTCATCTACAAAATAAACATAACAGCATCTACCCTGCAGATTTGTTGCAAGGAATATAGATAATGGATATAAAGCAACTAGCTCACAATTGGTTTTTCTTTTCTTTTCATATCAAAAATCTGAAAGACCACACTAAGAATTATTCTGTTTTATGTAGTGTAATTCACCTTGAAATTAAAATAATGCAACAAAACCATAAGATAGAGATGAACATATTGGGCCTGATTCATATGCATCTCATGAGACAGTAATTTTACACTCAACATTTCCACTTAAACAAGGTGTCTAATAACTACAGTGTTGATTTTTAAATAACAGACATTCAAATTACTGAACGGGCTTGATAGAAAAGATCACCCTGCTCCCACCAGACTCCAGAATCATAATTACTCTGCTGTGCCTAACAGAGAATGGACATGATGGAGAAGAGAAAGAAAGAAACAAAATAACTAAATTTAAAAATTATTTTTGGTTCATCAGCAAATAAAAAATCAACATCAAAATGAAACAGTCCTTCACATGCCAGTTTTTGAGTGCAATGAAAGCACAAACTCTAGTTTCTGTAAGAATTCAATAAATAAATTAATACAGCACCCTTTAAGCATAATCTTGCTTTGCGTGGAGCATTAACTATAAATCTTGCTTCTACCCAAAGCGGTATTAGGACGAGGATGTGGACTATCCTGTCACTGTACTCGAGAATTGCTTTTCCTTCTCACTCTCTCTCCTCTCTATCTGGTTCTCCTTTTCATGTTTTGCTCTCTTTTTTCTGACTTCCGCCTCTTCCTTTTGAAATCCTGCAGGTCGTCCGACCGTATCAGACCATGTCCAATCCCATGAGCAAGCTCACTGTTCTCAACAGCATGCATTCCCACTTCATCCTGGCCGACAATGGCACCACCGGCAAATATGGAGCAGAGGTGAAACTTAGGAGACAACTGGAAAAGCATATTTCACTCCAGAAGATAAACACAAGTAAGTAGGCTACTGTTCCCACATCATGCCTCATAGGAAGTATGATGAAAGTGAGTAACTTTAAGTACACCATGCAGCGATATTATAAAAATGGGAGCAAATTTCAAGCGTGGATCATTATTTCTCCTGGGCCACTGGTTAGAATTACAGGAAGTCATCTAGAGGAGGATGATTGGAGGCATAAGGAGTGATTACACAATTAGGGGACTCGAGCTCATTTATCATGCCTGCAAAATTCAACCCCATTTGGGGTTTATAAATGCAGATGAGCTTTTCTTTCCAAACTTTTCCTACATCCATTACACAACACTCTAAGGAAGAAAGATACCCTAGAGAAATTGTTTCTATTTATGAAGCTATTTTTGGTGGATAAAAAAAAAAAAAGAAAAAATTAGATTTTGATCTTAGCATAGATCTGGCTGTGCAAAGGCATTTCAAGGGAACTGACATTCTCTAAACTAAAGTGTCATGTGTAACCACCTTGATGAAACTTTGTCTCTTAATTTTATGTACATATTCATTCATTGTCTCTAGATTCATATGTGTTTAGATGTATCTGTATATTTATGTGTACCACGTAATACGTATCCGACAGTTATATTAAAATTAGTACTTATGTGTTCTATACTGTATTTTTTGTGAACACAATTTAACTATGAAAAGGTAGCCTTGTAAAAACAACAGTGCTCCCCAAATCACTAAGCAGCCTGCATTTAAATGTGATAGACGTATGAAAATAATCTATCCCGCCTCACAAATAAAATTCCATTTGTTTTCACAAAGTAACACATGAGACTTCACGGCAGGCTCAGACTTTGTGGTAAATTCTATGTCCCATCAGGGGAAACTTGGATCTAATTGATTGAATTTTCAAAGCCTATAATTCCAAATAAGAAAAATGTTCTCTTTGGCTAGATACATTTTCAAAAGTCCAGTGCAAAGCGACTCAGCTTGTTCAAATGGCTTTTCTCTTCTCTGGTCTTTTCTCTACATCTGTCTCAAATGGGTTTTCCTTGCTCCTAGAAGTGGGGTGTTCAACCAATCAGACCACAACTTCTCTTTCCTATCCTCTCTTTTCTGGTTCCACCTTTTAGGGGCTACCACTGTTTAAGCAGTTAAGTTTCATACCTTCATCTTTTCACAGGGAAGTCTGGAATAATAAATTTTGGTGTAGGCCTGAAGTCAAAATTCTATTAGAAAACTCTCTTCTATCTAAGAATCCTCAACTGTCTTTGGAAAGAGAAAACACAGCACTATCCCAAGGTAAACATCTTTTGGGGGAAAAAAAAGAGTAGAAAAGACTAGAAAATTGATCTCCAGACCACAGCACTAATCAAGTGTAACAAAACATTATAAACAATGGGTGGTAGGTTTGCTTATACACAAATCGATTTTCATTGTAATATTTGATAGAATGGGTAAATGTCATGTAATTTGTGTTGTCTGTTTAGGTTGTTCTAGATTGTAGCATTGCCTTTTTACACCATCATGTTAATAATGAGGGCCTAAATAGGAGTGACCTGAAAGCTGAAGGAGATGGGAGCAGAGTAGACAAGGAGCAAATTCAGGGTCAAGTTCAGTGCTTGGTAATGAGACAAAATCTGTCCAGATAAACAAAGCATGTCATTGTGCCAGGCCTGGGTGGCGGCTGAGCCGGTTAGTCAGTAGTGTTAGGTGGAGAGTTAGGTGTGTGGTTGTGTAAGTTATACACCCTGTTCAAGGGTTGCCAGCAGGAGTTAAAACCCAGCCATGGCTGTTAGCCAAACTCTGCACCTTACATGCTGCCTGAGGAAAGGATGTTTTTTTCTAATTGGTCATTCCAGAGGGGACATTCTTTCCTAATTGATGTGCCTGGAAGGGCATCTTTCTCTAAAGCTCACAAAGGTGCTATGTGTGGATGGTCCTGCAGGGGAGGCCCAGGGAGGCTCACAGACAATAGCCTGGCCTCAGTGAGGAGCAGAGTCAGCGGTGTGGAGTCAAAGAGCAGACCAAGGCTGATGGTCAGGACACTGGGAATGCTGGAGGGGCCAGGACCCCATGCACATGCCCCCCTGCCATTTGTGGAGACACTGGACCCTTGCTCGATTATCAAGGCAGGTAGTGGCATGCAAGCACGTTGACAAATGGGGACCCAGTCAAGGGTTCTACGGTACAAAGTAGGGGAGAAGCACAGACCCGGTACCAAGCTGAGGCACAAGGTCAGAGAAGCTGGCTTGAGACTCCTGAGATGCTCCAAGTCCACAAACAGGATTAGGCCTAAGGTCTGGGATAGAGCTGAGCCCCCAGAGTAGGTTAAGTGACAGTGGCTGGAACAGGGTAGGGGCAGAAGGAGCTAGGTAGTCATTGCAATCATCACAAATTATGAACATAATTTTTCTCCTTGCTTTGGGGACTGTATTTGAGGCTTCATAGAAACTCCCATTCAATGAATATAATTAAATGAGAAGAGGAGGGTTAAAGATGCCCAGTGGAGATCCCAGAGGTCACAGGAAATTGAAAGGCTCCGGGTAAGGAATTAGTGCATGAGCTGTAGCAAATGATGCCATGAATCATCTCTTTATGCCAGTTCTATCTCTGAACTTAGTAGTGGGAGGGTGACCAGCTCATCCCAGTTTGCCCGGAGCTTTCTCAGATTTAGCACTGAAAGTCCCGTGTCCCCAGGACCCCTTGGTCCTAGGGACACCAAGACAGCAGGTCACCTTCCAAGTGAGGGTCTCATGAGTCATTGAGTCTACTTCTTTTATTACTGCATTCACCCTACAAAGCAGGGAGGGAGCAGCAAGGTCCTCAGCTTAAGGAGTGACCCAGTAACAGAAGCAGCGTAGCACCTTGAGGTCTCCATTGAGTTAGCAGCAAAGTGCCCAATGAGAACACAGAAGCCTCCAGAACAGGACTGAGAAAGAAGGGGAAACGTTGACCTGGTTATGGCAGGAAGCAGCAGAAGGACGAATGCAAACCTGTAATGAAATCCCCAGGCGACATTTTAGAACAGCAACTCTACTTTCGAATCTGGACACTATTTTTTTCCTTTATATCATAATTCGCAGTAATGTGGTTCTTCCTATTAAAAATAAAATTTTATTCCATAAGCTCATTCTAAAAATCTCATTTTTCTTTTTAATTCCCTTCTTCAAAAGTCTGAGAAACCTAAAATACAATAGTGGAACTCAATTTTGGGAGGCACTGCTTTGTCCTGAAAATTAGCCTCTATGCCATAATATACTATACCGCTATACCACAAAAATCCTGCTCACCACCCACTCCACTTAGGATGACCCCGGGGACGTCTGAACACACTCAGCATTTTCCTCATTAAAGTTCCATTCCTCCTCATCACTTTGGGGTGACCTGCATACCACGGTAACCTTTTTAACAAGTCTGTTTTCTTACATAAATGACATAATCTTCTGAAGAATATTTTCCTTCAATATTAAGTGAATCCTGCTCAGGAGACCTTTAAACCCTTTCTCATCAACGTGCCAATTATTCATAATAACATATTACAAGCACCAGCGTCTTGCATTTTTCTCAGCGCTCTGCATCCATTATCTCATCTCTCCCCTCCCTCCACTTATTCCTGCTGTCAACAGTCGGCCCTGAAGTATTGTCATTGGTTCCTGAAGGGCTTCATTTTTAAAGGAGAATCCTTTCAGCTTTGGAACACTCTCCCATCTACCATTTTCTAAACTTCAAATTTAAGTGCAAAGCCTCACGCAATTCCAATCAGGCCTTTAGCAAACAAACATTTCTTGACCTCCTGTGATGTACCAGTCATGGCTAAGGCCTAGAAAAGCATCAGTAGGCAGTTCATTGAATTTTAAGTCAACAAGGGCAAACAGAGTAATAAGTAAATGAGTAAACAAGTGAATATACGATGGCCAGTAATAAAAAGGGCTGTGAAGAAAAATAGAGCAGAGGAAGGTATAGGTATGTGGATGCATGTGCACGTGTCTGCACGCATGCACTCGTGTGTGTTGGGAGGATGGTGTAGACTAGGTGGTCAGGAATGGCCTCTATGAGGAGGTGACAGGTAAGCAGAGACCCGAGGGAAGTCAAGGAGCATCCTGGGAAGAGTGAAAGCAGGGACGAGGTGCCCGCTGTTTCATGCAGAGTGAGAGTTGGATTTTATTCTAGTGGAGTTTTGATCTGGCAAGTTATGATATGTCCCTCGTGGTTTAAAACATCACTCTACTGAGCCAGCCCTGATGGCCTAGTGGTTAAAGTTTGGCGCTCACCACTTCGGTAGCCCAAGTTTGCTTCCCGGTCGTGGAACCACACCACTCGTCTGTCAGTTGCCGTGCTGTGGTGGCAGCTTGCATAGAAGAAGTAGAATGACTTACAGCTAGAATATACAACTATGTACTGGGGCTTTGGGGAGGAAAAAAAAAAGGAAGATTGGCAACAGATTGGCTCAGGGCGAATCTTTCCCTGCAAAAAGAAAAAGAAAGACATCACTGTGCTGTCGTGTGTAGAGATCACACTGAGGTGGGGGCAAGATTTAAAAAGAAATTTTTTTAGACTACTGCAATAGTGCCAGTGAGAAGTGACCGTGGTTTGAATTAGGACGGCAGCAATAGAGGCTGGATTCAAAGTATACAAAGATACTTTCTCAACTGATTTTGTTTTAATGTGGTGAAATACATATAACACAAAATTGACCACTTTAACCAATTTTAAAGGCACAGTTGAGTGGCATTAAGTACAATTTACATTGTTGTATAACCATCACTGCTATTTGTCCCCAGAAGTCTTTCAGTGATCCAAACTGACTCGATATCCATTAAACACCAACTCTCCATTACTCCCTCCCTCCAGGCCCTCGTAGCCACTATTCTATTTTACGTCTTTATGAATTTGCCTATTCTAGCTACCTCACATAAGTGGATCATACAATATTGGCCCTAAGATATATTTTGAAAGTAGAGCCCAAAAGGACTTGCTAATGAATTGAGTATTTAGGGTAAGGAATAGACACCTCAGGGATGCTGCAGGTCAGCCTG